TGCGGGTTCGATAGAGGCGTACTACCGCGCGTACCCCCTATGCTACAGCGAACGAGAAACGCCCTCGGCTGGTCCACCTCTGTGATTGCAGCTGATCAGCTTTCGTATTGTGGACTGGTAGCTCGGCGGGGATACGCCCACCGAAGGGAGGTGACAGCTCCCGTAAGGTGGAGGTAAGTCGTGCCTCGCGTAGGCCTTGTCTTGTCGTAGGGGCTCGCGAGAGGTATGGCTGGCGCACTCGGTTGGAGCGGCTTGCGGAAGCTCCATGTATATATTCGCGACGAGGATTAGACCAACTCCTGCGTGACGCGGCCGGGAGGGTCCCGCGCTGCCTTTGAGTAGTGTCGGACCGATGCGCTCGACAGCGCTACGACCGTTCCCCCCATCTTCACTCTCCCCTCTGGTCATCCTTTTTTTTTTTTTTTTTTTTTTTGTGTGTGTGTGTGTTCTGGAAAAGGGTAATGGCCTTGAGATATTGTCATTGGGCTGACTGCTCCTGTTTCATTCATCTAGTTTCATTACCTGGATTTGAACACAAGTCTGTATTTCAACAGTTCATGGGCGTAGCAACTAAGCTGTTGTCTTCCACCAAACATGACACACCCTGGTAATGAATGTATACAAGCTAACCTTCCAGTCCGATACGGTCAAAATGAGGGTACAGACGGTAGGCTCGTCAGCTGTGTTCCTGTTTTTCTGGCTTGTTTGTGAAATGAAAGGATATATTTTGTTGTGACAAAATAAACGGAAAAAAAAAAGGGAAGAGAAAAGAAGCACCTATAAGGCTTGCTTTTCATTTCTCTTCTCATCACATGGCCCCTGTGCAAGGATAACCGGCATAAATCAAGAAATAGGGCGCGATTGAAATTCGCAACCCTGCAGGGCCGTCTGCGCAGGTCTCGCTTGGAGAGTGTAGTACCTGCTTCGAGAGCGTAGGAAGGCTCGACGCGCCGGCCGGCCTGGCGGGACTGCCCTCAATGGCCGTGCGACAAGGACCCCCCAAGGCCGTCTCCAACCTGCACAACCTTTAAAAAAAATAAAAATAAAAATAAAAATAAAAAAATTCGCAACCCTAAGGCTGCGGTATAGTCGACTGTGGCATCAATGTTAAGCTGGCATATTTTCGGCGGCGAACGACCAGTGCACAAGTGGGCTCTTAGGGGTTCAAAATTTCCAGGGGTCGGTGGCGGGCGACCAGTGCACAAGTGCGCTCTTAGGGGTTAAAAATTTCCGGGGGACGGGTCCTCGGCGATATCGCGGACAACCTACAGCTAGCTCTTCTGGAACCGAGACTTTTGGAAAAAGGAATGACCAGTCGTCAGGTGAAAGCGGAACCCAAAAAGAGGCGATATCGCGGACAACCTACAGCTAGCTCTTCTGGAACCGAGACTTTTGGAAAAAGGAATGACCAGTCGTCAGGTGAAAGTGGAACCCAAAAAGAAGTAAGAAGGGGAGGCGTTGTGGGGAGTCCCATGCGCAGGCAATTTGCAAGAGGCAACTTCGCCATTTTTTTGTGCTCAGAAGAATTCGCAGAAAAAAATCTGAAAATTTGAGAATCTCTAGATTAGGTTGTGGTCTCTCCAGGAAAACCGTGCAGATTTAGTGCATTTTCCATTTTTGCTAGTCAGCCATGTGTAGCAGGCCGACGTCGATTTTTTCAAAAACAGATTTGTAGTTTTTATTTCAGCTTCAATCAGAGGGGGGGGAAGGGGGG